GAGTTTGTGACAGTCCCTCAGGAAAGCAAAGCCACAAAAAAAATCTCATCCTCTCAGAAATCTTTTTGGTAGGAATCAATGGTGGTAACAAAGAAGTCGCATCCTGGGTTGAAAATCACTTCTGAGTCTTCATACCTCTGAAGATACTAAAACAATATATACTGTGCAAATAAACTCAGAAATGGCTACTCCAGAAATGTACATAATCTAAATTAACCAAATATTGATCTCTTGCCATTAAATTCTCTACAGAAGTGACCATGATAACAAGGAGTCTCATGATCCCAGTGATGGTGAGGTTTCTCTAGTTCAGAGAACCCCACTGAGAGGATGATTCGGCCTGGAAAAGTTTAGTTTCTTGGGACACTGACTCCATCCTCCAGGTTCTAGGCTTTTATCTTATTCTACAGAATACTGCCAGTATGTTAACTGAAAGCAAAGTCACCTTCAGAGAAAACAAATCAAAGCAATGCATCTATTTTCAAAACCATTTCTTGCTGAAGAAAAAGATGAAAGTTTAAAACACCATTCAACCTTAACAATGAGCTCTATAATGGAACAGTATCAACTGGCTTCTCGTTGGTGTTCTTCTCGGAGGAAGCAGGTAAGACTGACGAAGCCACAGGGATGGAAAGTGGCCTCCCCTCAGGAGAGATGAAACTGAATGCAGTCCATGGAATTTGCCACCATCTTTTAGTGATATTCATGGACATGAGTCTTAAAGATCAAAACCTGCTTGGGATGGGGTCCAGGACACACTACCCCAAAATATGGCACTTTAGCATAATCAAATATTTGAAAATGGCAAAAGTTGAGAAAACCACAGAAGTAGGAAGGTCTCTCTGACCTTCCCCTGCCCTTTACCCCCTGAAGCGGATCATAGAACCTGGGAAGGATGTTCTGACCGTCCCCTGAAGCCGGGTGGGTGTAAGATGCTCATGTGAGAGGAGCGTTCTCACTACTTGGAGGAAGGGAGCATCCTTATCTCTGACGACACAGGAACACAGAGAAGAATCTGAACAAACGGGCCATGCCAAGTTTCCCCCAATTCATTACCATTAAATTATACTCTTTTTGCCCTATCATATTTCTCCACAATTCTCTACTCTTCACTAAACCTACCATTAAAAACGCTCAGCTTTAACTGTTTCTTCGGGTCTTCATTTCCTTTATGAAGGCTCCCGTCTCATGTAAAACCCATATTGAATAAGTGTGTATGCTTTCCTCTTATTAATCTGTCTTTTGTTAAAGGGACCTCAGCCATAAACCCAAGATAGAGAAAAAAATGTTTTTCCTCCCCTACGTGTTTCTGTGCAGCTCACCTGATTTGGCGCACCTTTGGGTTCCAGAACCTCAGCTTTAGGGGAAACAGTGCTGAGAGCCAACATCTCGCACTGACCTTAACAGAATACAGATGTGCAGGTAAACAGTACTTTTTCCTTTAACAAAATAGAAAGCATAAGAAAGACATACAGCAGCAAAAGTGACAATTAAGAATAGAAGGGACTCATTCTTTCTTGTCTTCTCCAGAAGCTCTCTAGCTCCATTCTTTTTTTTTTTTTTTTTTTTTGAGACAGAGTCTCACTGTGTTGCCCTGGCTAGAGTGAGTGCCGTGGCATCAGCCTAGCTCACAGCAACCTCACACTCCTGGGCTCAAGCGATCCTCCTGCCTCAGCCTCCCGAGTAGCTGGGACTACAGGCATGCGCCACCATGCCCGCCTAATTTTTTCTATATATTTTTAGTTGTCCGATTAATTTCTTTCATTTTTAGTAGCGATGGGGTCTCGCTCTTGCTCAGGCTGGTCTCGAACTCCTGAGCTCAAACAATCCGCCCGCCTCGGCCTCCCAGGGAGCTAGGATTACAGGCGTGAGCCACCGCGCCCGGCCTCTAGCTCCATTCTTGATTGTCACTTAATTATCAGCCTACACTTTTACTTCATTAAAGTTTTTAGGCTGATACCAAGCAGATGATGACACCATTGGAACAGCGCGACCACCCACCCAGCTGCCCTGGCAGTCAGGGAAAGCACAGCCCCACTGGTCTCCGAGCTCGGGGGCCGCTGCATCTGCCCTGTGTGAACACAGGCGCACATCTGGGCAAGCCGTTTACCCGCTTTGCTCAGGAGGCCTTCCTTGGCTCCCCAGTTTGTCGTAGGACCCTATTTTACCCTCCCTCACAAGTCCCCTTGTCCTTGTTCTTTGCCACTCACATAGCCCCCTGAACATATCACAATTCTAATTAAATACTTGCTTCCCTATAGATTTGTTTAAAGCCTGCCTTCCCCCACAAGACGGTCAGGGGCAGGAAGGTAGGTTGCTCCCCACCGCACCCCAGCCCCTGACACCATGCCTGGCTCAAGAAACACTTGTTAAATGAGTGACTTACAGTAACTTTCTATGTGTTCGTGTCCACAGTTGTTCCAGTGCCTGTACTCTACGCAGCCATGCTAGCAGCTGTTCTGGGCTTCTCCACATTCCAAGTTCAAGGGGAGCCTCCAAAAGGGAAAACAATCTCCTGTGGCAGCAACCCAGAGGCTGGTTTGTTTCTTAAGTGCCCTTCCTCCTGGTCTGGCTTACATGCATCATTAGCCAGCAGCAAAAGCACTGCATTATAAGTGACTTCAGAAATCGCAGTCATTAAAATTGAAAACTTCCATTTAAGCCAGACTACCCCTTTGTGATGTTAAGTGGCCCCTCCGTGCTTCCAAACCTCTCTCTGTGAGGCCTATTCCAGCTTTTAACCTACCTTGTGGGCTTTTGATTTGGAGCCTCTTGTGCTCTTCAAGCTGTAATTTTCACAAGTGGAGCCCTAAAGCACTGTATTTTTGTTTGCCAGAATTATTCATTTCATTTCTGTATGTGTTTGGTGGATGACTTTTCTGTAGCATCTTAAAAAATAATGCTGTAACTCCTTACAGCATTTAAAAAAAAATAAAAAGGCCAAAAAGAGCCACGAAAAAATTAACCGAGTAGATCAAATATTTAAATTAGTATCAGAAAGCTTAAATGTAAGCGACACCTAAATCATCTCAAGCACATTCAACAGGAAAAATTAGAAAGCATACTAGATGAGAACATTGGATAATGGGGTGCAGAGGTGGATTCTGCTTTTATTTTAAAATTTGAAATTTTGTTCGTGAATTTTATTATTTTTGATTTTTTTTTAAATTGCATCAAAATATTGCTGATCCTTCCACAGAAGTTAAACAGAATTACCACAGGACACAGCAATTCCACTTCTAGATATATACCCCAAAAGAATTAAAAAGAGGTACCCCAAAAATAGTTGCACATGGATGTTGTCAACGGAAAATAAGCCAAACTCTACAATTTAAAGAGGTTTATTCTGAGCCGAATTTGAGAACCATAGCCCAGAGCCACGCCCAGGAATCCTTGAGTAAGTGGATTCGCTGTGGCTGGGTTACAGTTTGGTTTTATACATTTCAGAGAGACAGCGATTACACGTAAAGTCATAAATCAATACACGGAAGGTGTACATTGGTTTGGTCCAAAAAGGTGGGACATCTCACAGGTTATAGGTAGGTTTAAAGACTCTTTGATTTGTAATTGATTAAAGAAATGAAGCTTTGTCTAAAGGCTTAGAACGTTTTAAGATAAGGAAGTCTGTTAATCAGATTTCCAGACTTACACCCAGACCCAAGTGATTTGTTGTGTAAATTGAGGACCTGCAGGTTTGTCTTGCATAGCCTTAGGCCTGTTAGTGACTTATTATACAAAGGATGTCTCCAAGAAGGAAGGGAGGCATGATGAGGCATGTCTGACCTCCCTTCTCATGGCCAGCAACTGAGTTTTAGGGTATCCCCTTGGCCAAGAGGGGGGTCCATTCAGTCAGCCGGTGCAGGGGAACCTTAATATTTCACTTTAGTTCACAATGGTTTACAGCAGCACTATTTATAATAGCCAAAAGGTGGAAACAAATTGTGGTATATCCATATAATGACATTTTATTCAGCCATAAGAATGAATGAAGTTCTGATACATGCTACAACATGGATGAACCTTGACAACATTATGCTAAATGAAATAAACCAGACACAAAAAACACACATTATACGATTCCACTTATATGAAGTATCTAGAATGGACAAAGCCACAGAAACAAAAAAGAAATTTGTGGTTGCCAGGGGGTGGCAAGAGGGGGAGATGGGGAGTGACTGCTAATGCATACAGGGATTTATTTTGGACTGATGAAAATGTTTTGGAAAAACATAAAGGTGGTGTTTGCACAACGTCAGTGAAGGCCAATGAACCATTCCCTTTAAAATTGTTAATTCTATGTTATGTGAATTTCACCTCAAGTAAAAAATACATATACAGGTTGAGCATCCCTAATCTGAAAATCTGAAATCTGAAACTTTTTGAATGCCCTACATGAAGACACAAGTAGAGAATTACACATCTGACCACATGTGAGGGGTCGCAGTCAAAACCTTGTTTCATGAACACAATTACTTAAAATATTGTATAAAATTATCATCAGGCTAGGTATATAAGGCTTATATGAAACATAAATCAATTTTGTGTTTAGACTTGGGTCCTGTCCCCAATATATCTCATTATATATATGAGAATATTCCAAAATCCAAAATCTGAAACACTTCTGGCCCCAAGCATTTCAGATAAGGGATATTCAACCTGTATTACTGATCTTGATTCAGGAATCAAGATTTTTGGAGCCCCCTTAAATTTTGTGCCTGAAGCAAGGGCCTTTCTTGCCACCCCAAGTCTTGGACTTGTTAAATTTTACTTTTAACTGGAAATAAGCAGGATAAGAAGTTGAAATAATCTTGGGCCATACACAAGTCTATGGTTGAGTTCCAAGTAACAGAATGACTCATTGTTGACTTAAAGTCAGTTGTAGCACGTGCCAGGTGACCCTTCCCATACAACACAACAAAGGCCCAGTTACCCGGATCCTTGCTCGTCATCCTGACATCCTCGTACACCGGACAAAACGCAAACACACTTTCTCCCCAGTAAGGTTGTTGGAAAAAGTTTAATCAGCTATAAAAATTTGTAAGTACCAAAGGCCACCTCCAGAGGGAAAAGAAAACTACCTCCTTGGTTCTGGTTCATGGAAATATGTATTATTAGATTCTCTTTGAGGCTTTACAGCCCATGTTTGGTGGAGAACAGAATGATTCTGTAAGAGTGTGGTGACGTCTTCAGATAGTTCCTTCATGTTGAGTTCAATTACTTCAGAGGCTTAAAAAAGAAAGAATTTAAGTATAAGCAACATCAGAAACTGAAAATACAAGTCTTTAAAATATCTCCAGCTAACCTTTGCCCCATTTTGGCTTACTCCTAAAGATCTCTGTGTTTGAGGCAAATGAACACGAATATTCCACCCCTCGGTGCAATATGAAGAGAGCTCACACTAGAGCAATTAACTCTGCACAAGTCTTCCTGAAGCTGCTGTCTCTGCTAAAGAACAGCCTGTCCAATGCAAGGCCTGCCATAACCCCCAGGGTAATCCCAGGCAATATCTGCCCCTGAGCATAAATTTAATAAAGCTCTCCAGGCTGCTATCCTCTGTAAGAGCACATTATAGAGCCACGTGGAAAATAAGGTGCCCTTGGACACCAAGCCTGTCTCTTGCTTCTTTCTACAAAGAAATAAAATACTACTTTATTTTCTACAAATCCATGGAAATCTGCTTTTCTGAGTGACCTACACACCAGGGGTCAGCAAACTTTTTGTAAATAAAATTTTGTTGGCACACAGCCATGTCTATTTATCTATGCATTGTCTATGGCTGCTTTCCTGTTACTGCTGAGTGGTTGCCACAGAGACTGCATGGCCCACAGCCTAAAATATTTACTATCTGGCCTTCCAGAAAAAGTCTATCAGCCCCTGACCTAGACTATTACAACTCTAACCACAACAGCCTCCAGGTAGACAGTTATAGGTGTACTTACATATTTATTCCTGGCCTCAGGTGCATTACATTTCCCCCCAATACTAACTCTTGACAGCGCCATGGGCTGTCACATCTGTCCTGCTAACGGTGCCCGTCAAATAAGAGCATCCTGAGGGAGCAGGATCCTGTGAGACAAGCCCTGCGTTGGCCGCCTCTACACCAGGTCGACAGCTTGTCTGTAAAACAAACAATACTCGAAGATTCTACCTTACCCTTGCAGGCAGTCCCCATTACTCCAAGTCGCGTATTAGTTTCAGTTTATTTCCAGCTCAGCTAGCCTTGGCTCTGAAAAGCTGTCATCACTGGCATCGCTGTATCTATCACTGGATTAAAAGAGGAACTAATTTAGCAAGGTGTAAAAATAAACCCTGGACAATTATTCAATTTGCAATCCCAAACACATTCCACATTAACCCCCACTCAGAGAAAATACTAAGGAATATTCTTTTAGCACTTTCTAGTCACTACAGGAAGAGGTTAGTCCAACCACACACAGCAGCTTCCTTCTTCTGGTCGGAGAAACCGGGCATTTGCTTTCATTGGTAATTGGAAGTTACTGATTCAGAAAATTTTAAAAAGCATTTCAATTTAGATCAAAACTTATAATCTTCTGAAGACCACTGATCATTTCTAAACTTCAACAAAAGCCTTGAAAGCAGATTGCTCTTCTGCCCTCTTCCCTGTTGCTTCCCTACCAGAGCTGTTCCATTAACAAATTGATTTAACATGAAAGCCTTAGTTGTTGGATCCATTTATTTTCTGTGATCTGCTCTTATACTAGGGCCTCAGTCTCAGTCTATACGAGATTGAGCATCACTTGGTCCTACTCCTACTGATCTCAATTTGTTCTTAAGTGCAATAACAACACAAAGTGCTACCTGGATCTTCAGTTTTTTCATTTTTCACCCTTCTGATGCCAACTGTTTCCTTTGGCAATGAGAGGGTTCAGGACACACCACCTCAAAATATGGTGCATTGGCATATCAAATATTTGAAGCTGAAGGGATTTGAGAGACAGCATGTGCAGGAAGGTCTCTCTTACCTCCCTCTGCCCTTCCACCCCTGAAGCAGGTCCTAAAACCTAGGAAGGATTTTCTGACCTTCCCTGAAACAGGGCATAAGAGCCTCAGGTGAGAGGTGTCCTCCCTAAACCTGGAAGAAAGAAGCATCCTATTCTTTGAAGACACAGGGACACAGAGAAGAGAATATGGACAAACAGGCCTTGCTTGGTTTCCCCCAGTTTACTAGCATTAGATCATACTCTTTTTGCCCTATCATATTTCTCCATGACTCTCCACTCTCCAAATCTGCTATAGAAACACTACGCTTTACCTGTTTCTTTGAGTTTTCATTCCTTATTTAGACTCCTGTGTCACAGAGCACTTATATAAAATAAATATGTATGCTTTTCTCTTGTTAATCTGCCTTTTGGTATAGCGGCCTCAGCCATGAACCTAAGATGATCAGAGAAAAAGCTATTTTTCCTCCCCTATGTCAATGTGAAAGGACTAGAGAACGGTGACCACAGCTGTGTGTCCCTGAGTACATTGGTCAAACACTAGCCATTTTTTTCCAGCAGCAGGTTGGGTTTTGTCTGTATGTTTAAGGACCACAGTGTCCCCCTAGACACAGATCTGTGCTTGCCTCTGTGTTTGAGGATCACAGCAGCTCCTCATTATAGAGGAACTGACCATCTACAGTCAGCAAATTTCACAGGGAGCTTGAACTTGGTGGTCATGAGGGCTCAGACGTGCATTTTGGCTCAAGACCCAGAAAACACCCAGCAGTGCACATAAAAAATGTTAATGTACTCTCTAAACTCACCTTGAAATCCTATCTGCTTCAGATCATATATTCATTATGAATTATAGGTCAGCAACATGAAAGTTTTCCATTCCAAGAAACATTCTCATAGGTCCAAGGGTTTGAGAAAAAATTTGCAGAATTATGCAATTCTCAAAATTGGAAATATATGGGGATACTCTGATTACCTTGAGTCACATATAGTATTCAAAATAGGACTGATTATTGACATACATGTCACCATGTTGGGCTCCCTTAGAAATACACCTTCTCCATGAGATAGCTCTATAATGGAACTTCTGTGCTCTAAGCCTTGGGCTCTGTTTGGGGTTCCTCTTGCTCGGTTCCAAATAAATCAGCACACTGATCAACTCCACCAGAGCGCTACTGATTTATGGAGATGATATTGCCAGGAGATGTTTCATGCCTGATCCATTCCTAACTTTGGCCAAGCTTTTGCTGACTTGCAGCAATAAAAGTCTGAATTCCATAACAGGTGAAATTCCTGTTTTGTTTTGTTTTTTAAAGGGACGAAGGGAACAATTGGAGAAACCTTATGCTAGAAAACAAAGACTTTAATATCAGTAAATGAGGCAAACCATAAACTACAATCTATTCTCTGGTTCACACGCTCACTCTCCCCCTGACTTTTGGACAAAATAGTGAAGGTAGACGGGCACTAGAGTATGGAGAGGAGATAAAAGATGAAGAAATGACAGAAAAGACAAGATACGTTAGATAAACATATGAAACACATCCTTAAAACCAATCAAGTAAAATATACCTCCTAGTAATATTTTAGTTCAGGAAAATGATTTCTACTGTTACATAGGAATAACTGAAGAATATTTTTTAAAAACTGGCCCTCAAAATGTTGCTATATCCTTATCCACGCATTCTCCCTACTCAAGTGTAGAATTCTTCCTGGTTCTATGCAACATTTCATGTCACAGAATTAGCAAAGAAAGGGGATTTGCAAGCTGTACTCAACTCCCTGTCTGAGAAGAAATGAAGGTCAAGGGCATTCCAGTGACTTACCTGGCATACAGCTCATTCAAGGTGAGGCCAGAATCCCCATCATACTCACCCAGGCCACAAGCTCAGGTTTAAGCTGCAATGCAGTAGGGCAGTAAGGCCCACCAGGGCATGTCCCTTAACACAAGTAACAAGGACCAAAAGGCTACAGGAACGCCATTTTCTTGGGTGCCAGATTTTACACCCACTTCCTCCCCACCTCTAAGCCTGGGAGAGAATAGGATGGGCTCATATCTTCCCCCTCACACTCCTGGTTATACTATTTATTAGCCACAGACCTTTGGACAGGTCATTTGACTCCTGAGAGTCTAGAAAAAGTGGCAATAATACCTACAAACTCACCAAAATGTTTATAAGGGCCAAAAAGAAAATGTGTAAGCTTGCTCTGAAAACTATATAAAAAATATAAGCTGTTGCTATTTATGGGGATTACATATTCATAACATGGTATCTCCCAAAAAGTCATGGAAACATAAAGAATCAATGAAAACTGCTAAGTGCATGATTTTGAAAACTGTTGCCTAAACCAAGTGTAATTTCCTACCCACATTAAACAAGCTGACTTGGTGGGTCTGTTTCTAACCTAATGGCTCTCATTTCCTGTCTGATGGCTGTCTGCCCCAAACTCTGCCAACGCATCAAAGTGGCACAGGCTGAGTCTAACAAAATGAGGCTCAGCTTGAGTTTATTCATGTCCAAGGTTAATGACCGGGTTCACTAATTGTCTTTCATACGTGTTCAGAGACCAGGGTAGGACAATAAAATACGCCATGACACTCAAGAACAGAATTATCAAAATAGGCATCACTGCTGAACTTGCTGATTTTAGGATATTCATCTGCCAGCAAAAAACAACTGCTGGAAATAAAATGGGGATCACATGTGAAGGCAGAACAGCAGTGGCTCTTGCACATGCAATAAAATGTGATGCCACTCTGTGCTGCCTGTGACTTAGGGGTTCATTTCTGTTTCACACAGAACAAACAAAAGATGTCATAAGCTAGATTTATCTGGGTGTATTTTCATTCAATTCAAGACATCTCAGCTCTGTCTTAAGACTAACCTGTCTTTTTTAGTAATCTTTTCCACAGACATACACATACACTCAGGCACACAAGTTCTCCCTGGGAAGAATTATCAGATATTAGGGTCTTGCATGTTAAATTTTATGAAGTGCCACAAAATACAGACTCATTCATGTGTGTGCTGTTACATTTGAGGAGGAGAAAGTTTTAAAATTGCACTGTCTAGTATGGTAGCCCCAAGCAATGGTGGCTATATAAATTTAAATCAATTATAATCAAATAAAATTTAAAATTCCATTCCTCCCTTGCACTACCCACATTTCATGTGCTCAGTGTGGTTAGTGACTGCCATATTTGATAGTGCAAATTATAGAACATTTCCATCAGTGCAGAAAGTTCTATAGGATAGTGATGATTTAAAAACAAATGAATAATGATTTAAAGTAAACGAACTACAGTCACCATGCAATGGCCCGCATCATTTCCTAAAAAGGTTTTTTTTTAAAGGTCTGACTACCTACCATTAATTAAAATCACAGCAAATATCTCTTATGCATGCATGTGTCCCCCAAATCATGGAAACTCTCTTTTTCAAAAAACTATTTCATGATACCATTTCTTGCAGGACAAAAATCAAAACCACCAGCAGCCAACACATGGGAATCACTATCCTTACAACACCGGCTCGACTTCCAAGATGTGACCACCATGGTCCACGTGGGTTCTTGACAAACAAAAGGCTTGTCATAGCCAAGTTTGTTTGCCAAAGACTTCTAGTCCCTAATAAATTCCCAATATAAGAAAATACATATTCCAAGGCGCTAGGGAAAGAGTACAGTAACGCCTCATACATCCCACCTTCTGTGCTACCCCAAGGCAGCTGTTAAACCATTTCTTGTCCATTAACAGAAAGAGGTGGTTGGAATTTAAAATTTTCGTAATGACACAGTTAGGATTCCCAGCATGCATGAGTTCCTATAACATCAAAATCCATTACATGTGAAAAAGCATGTTTTAAAAACAGGTTGCCATGCACACAGTTTCCCCAAAGCATTGTTACTGCTATACTTACTTCCTTCGTAAAGGGCCCCTGGAAGCCATAAAATATAAGAGCAACGAAATAAAAACTTAGTTTGCTTTGAATAAGTTTTGCATTTCACAGTAAACAGTAGAATACAACCCAGGCAGGGTGTTAAAAGCACAGAAGTCTGTATTTGCTATTAACTCCATTCCTGGCTGGCACCACATTATCAACTCTGCAGTGAACCATGATCAATAAAGAACACCTTTTACCCAACATTTAATCCGCAGGGGAAGATGTACTCAAATGTGGCTTATTAACAATAATTTCCCAGAAAAAAATCTCAAGGTATAGTGTTGAAGTGCAACAGTCACAGGGGGAGACTGCTTTAAAAGGTGTTTAAAAGAACTGTTCAAAAAGAAAGCAAAATAGAATCTTT